GGCGCATACACATGTTGTTAACGGTTGTAAATTTGCTTTTATTTGGCTGATTGTTAAAATAAGCGTGGACTGGTCTTATAGGATAGCTTGGTCATAGAGTTATGCAAGATTGGGACCCGGGAGAAAGTTCGAATTATCAATAATAGTATTGCTAATTCTTAAATGTTACACAATAGAACGAGAACCGATGAGTGTTTGCTATATGTATGATAGATTGTTGATGCTACGAATGCGAAGTTTCACTGAAATGAATGTAATTTTGCCGAAATAGTTTGAATAGATCATATAAGGAAAAGTACTTGTTTACTGAGAGGCCACATGAATCTGTTTGTAAAGAATAACAGAGAGAAACAACTAGTTGTCATCGCTTTATGAATATTCACTATTCCTATAAACAGCACCATCATCGTAGAGTTACAATAATATTTTTTCCTAATTTTAGTTAAGAATGGGGTCACATTTGGAAGGAGTTTCACATTTTTCCTAGTCATGATAGGGTCAATTTTGGAAGCTACATATATAGCCTCGCGTCGCTGGCTGGGATCCTGAGTCAGCTTTTTCTTGGCGATTTCAAGCAAACTAGGAAACGCATTCAGTACCACTGAGTTCTCTGCGAATTTGCGAAAGCTTATGCTTCGACGATTACACAACAGGAAGCATTTTTTTTAGTCAGGAAGGTCGAGTATACCATCGAAACTATATTTTTAGCTGCTTTACAACCCATTTTTTTGTTTCATAACGCATATATAATAGGTTTTCGTTACTTAAATCGAATTTCAGATATGTGGGCGTAGGTCCCGTGTACCAGCACCCGTCACTTGTCCTCAGCTGACATTTGAAGAACAAATTTGAAAATTTCTAATTGTTCAACATATGCAAACTCGATACTTAAAAGCAGATTCTATATTGAGCAGAATGTTGTCTTTACTTTTTTCTCGACTGTGACAAAAATTGTTTTCAAAAAAACGCATAGTATCTGTCCCCTTGAAAATCTCGGGCAAAATAATGTGGAGCAGTCTTCGTTTTTTTTCCATTCTATAGATGTTGACCTTCTTGTTATCATTCATTCTTCTCTCTTCCTAGACGAGCTAT